CACTAGATTTACAGGAAAGGCACGAGTGTTTGATAAGGAGTATCAGCTTAATGATGCACTCAACCAGGGTAAAATACCCCGAGATGAGAACCTAGTGATCATCGTCCGTTATGAGGGCCCCAAGGGCGGACCGGGGATGCCGGAGCAGCTCAAGGCCAGCGCGGCATTGATGGGAGCCAAGCTTACCAACGTGGCACTGATCACTGATGGAAGATACTCAGGGGCAAGCCATGGGTTCATCGTAGGTCACATTGTACCCGAAGCCGCGGTAGGAGGACCAATCGCTGTTGTCCGCGATGGGGACGTGGTCACAATCAATGCGGAAACCAATGAAATTAGCATGGATGTCTCGGATGAAGAAATCCAGCAACGGTTGAGAGAGTGGCAGCCTCCCACACCGCACGTTACACGGGGTGTGCTGGCCAAGTATGCCCGACTGGTTGGAGACGCTTCCCATGGCGCAATGACGGACCTTTTTTAGGATATTTTCGGTACATGGTAATAATTTATGAATAAATTTTTATACGACATCTTTATGAGCTGATCATGTCATCATGGTCAAATAATTATGTGTCAAACGGACCCGTGCTCCGTAGGGAGTGCCATCCATACCGAATCCATGACAGAAATCGACTTACCGCTAAGATGCCAGGGCCAAACTGCGTGCTGAATATGGCTAAGCTGAAATCAGGAAACACAACTCCTGATTCTAACTCTTCATAGACTCATGTCCCCAAGTACCTGTTTGGCCTGTAAATATCGTCGACCACAGGGGTATACACAGTACAACCTCCAATAGGAACTGATGGGGACGCCCTGTCCCCAGGCGTCCTACATACACGGTGGACCGAATGGCACAAAAGAATTGAAAATCAATGTAATATGTGTAACTTGACTCCCACTATAAACAGAAGAGTAGTAAGACAACAGACTCGATTCATTTTGATACTTACTCTACAGAGGATATGTCCTAGTATTTTTAGGGGGAGAGGACAGCATACTCGATAGACAGTACCTCAGGCATTCCTTTGTTACATGATCGATGACGTCCCTGCTGAGTCAGTGCAGCCACGAGGATGCAGGCTGACGCCATGAGTGGGCTACGGTGGATGACTCATCCTCGCCGATCCTCCACGGTGCTGCTTCGGAGCCTGTGACAGGCCGACGATGTATTTTTCGCTCCAACAAACAAGCTAGAGCTAAACATCGTCACTTCCTCAGCAAGGAGTCGCATTCCTATTTTAACCACTGACAAGTGAGCAGGGAGAAGCGACATCTCACAGGGCCGGACCCTTTTCGCATTGATCCCTTCAAGGTAAGACGCTATGTTGTTTGTCGCACAAAGTACCCGCTCGTCCTGCCTTTAAACGTGGTGTGAATTCTTCGCAAGTAACCTTGGTTCTAGCTGACCATTCTTCCAATGACCGTAGCATATATCCCACGTTTCCCCTCGTCTCCTGGAACATTCCATTATTTCGTGTGGCCTGTATCTGGGCCTACTGTCTTGTCCGCCTCCTGGAATAGAGTCAACTCGTCATTGGGAGCTTCTCAGAGAATCAATAGTCGCTCCTTTCTTGGCTTTGCCTCAAACTGTGGATCTCCCAGATTTCCCCGGAGCGCCCAAAGATAGACTGAAGACCAACGTGTTGCATGCTTATCATCTATTGGTCCGATTACTCTCGGCGGGCGCATTCTAGATACAAACTAAGAACGTCGGGTCGCGGCCTCTCCCTTACCTCAAAGGGATCTTCTGAGAGATCCAAACCGTAATTTCGATTCGTCTCACCACCTGAGACGGTGAATTGCTTCGACTGACCCGCTTAGTTGCCTCACTTTTGCGCTAAACCCAGGTCTACCCACCAAAGAGGTTCCGCCGTTCCATCTCGTGTATAGATCTCGAAGTGCATTCCAGAACGCATCCCCCGTGATCGCACAAGGATCGGCCGGGTAAGCTGTTTGGTGCTAGACATTGTGGCGTGGTAAACCGTGAATGAATGAATACGTTGTCCGAAAAGGGGGAGCTGTTCAAACTGGGCCAGATCGGCATCGTTATAAGTTAAAGACTTGTCGCAATGGGGCCAACTGATTCGCCAACACTCCCTACGACTTCCCGTCTAGTCGTCTCGGATATTAGTGCTGTCATACGCTTCTGGGACTCTGTCCACTCTATTCTCACCAACCCAAGTGCCTTGGTTTCTTTCACTCCCCTTTTCCAAAACCTCGATCGTGATGGACTATTGAGTTCACCGAAAGCCTTATTGCTGAGTACCTGCTTTATCGTCATGGCCGGTTGTGGGTTCTTATCCGTCATTCTGCGGCGCAAGAGCTCTGGACGGACTTCGGGGAACAAGCGTCATCGCCGGGCAGCTCGTCGAAATGCCTCCAACCCGTCTTCTGGAACTTTTACCTCGTCCGAAGACGAAGGTTATGATAGCAGTGGATCGTTGCGACATGGCACAGACAGCGCCTTCTCTACAGAGAAGACGGAGCCTCAACGCCGCGAGCAGTCAGACGATGGTCTGCACACCCCTAACCCTACCCTACTGTCAATTATTGCTGACGGCCAAGTAGCGCAAACCACAGATCCGGGCCTACTCAAAAAACATTCAACATATATCTCCTACACTACATCCGTCGCAACATATCCATCCATAAGAACATTTTACAAGCCGCATCCACAGAAGGACAAGTTGCCGATAAAACCAACTCCAATCCCATTGCTAGTCTTTGTACACGGCTTGGGTGGATCACTAGCCCAATTCAATCATCTGCTGACTAGCTTGTCCAACGTCGGGCCATGCTTCGGAATAGATCTGCCCGGTTGCGGATTGTCGAGGTTCGAGCCTGCTTCTTGGAACGCATATAAGGTCGAAGCTCTCGCAGAACTGCTTGCGACTGCTATTGAAGAGCATCGTGATAAAGATGCCGGCCAGGGGGTGGTCTTGATCGCTCACAGTTTGGGCTGTTCCCTTTCAGCGATGTTGGCGTCCGCGACCTCTCCTGTAGGGCCCAACTTGAAAAAGCATATTCTCGGACTCATCGCTATCTGTCCCCGCGCGTCGCCCCCATCTTCCAAAGAAGTTACGTCTTTCCGCCGACTCCTCCACATTCCGGGTCCGATCTTTGACCTTTGGCGATACTGGGACCGACGAGGGGGTCTGAAGAGCGCCAGTGTCAATCGTCTCGTCGGCGCAGATGCTGATCCCGATACAAGAGAACTCCAAGTGCGCTACAACAAACAGAGCAAGACGCCTGTGTGGAGACGCATGGCTTGGGGTACTCTTCCCACATATGGCGGTGTCGATGAAACCCCTGTAGGAGGGATTCCAGGGGAGACGACCTGGGCAGGAGTACGGACGCCAACCTTGCTTGTAGCTGGCGAGTCTGACACAGTAACGAAGCCTGCGGAATTGCAAAAAATTGTTAGGTTCTTCGGGGGCAAAGACTCAAAGATCGAAGAAAGCAGCAATGGTAGTAACATTATTCCGGATGCTTCCAAAGTCAATGACCAAGCTTCAGCCCCCTACAGCTGCTTAGCGCACGACGAAGAGTTTGGTGTTGAGCCTCAAGTGAATGAGAAGGAAATAAAGAACACTTCAGAGAAGCCACTTCAAGCTAGACGCTCTGTCAAAACAGTTATCCTCCCAGCTCCGGCTTCTCACGCTCTTCTTTACGATCGTGCGACATATCGCACTTTAGCTGGAATCATCCAGGACTTCCTTCAACAGCATGTTGATAATCGGCTGAGTCTCGGATGGCAGTTGCAATATCTTAATACGTCGGGCAAATGGGACGTGAAGAACCTAGCCAAGTGGAAAAAAGTCACACCTGTTTCAGAGCGCATCTCTGACACATTCGTCGCGCTGAAAATGCTACGCGAGGTTGACGAGGAGCATAATCCTGTACTATTCTCACAAGCGTATAGTGACCGGATCTATGCAGTTATCGATATTAGCTACGAAAACCCGGTGTACAATCCAGCCTCTCTGGAAAAGGGAGGCATCCATTACCACAAGCACCCTACTGTGTCAAAGATCCCACCAACACCAGATGAGACACGGGATTTTATTGCCTTGGTCGATAGGCTTCAGAACGAGATTACAGAGAAGGTGGTGAAGTCTGGCAACCGCCAGACTCCACGCCCGGTAGTTGGGGTTCACTGTCATTACGGATACAATCGAACCGGTTTCTTGATTGTCAGCTACCTGATTGAACGTTGTGGGTACACCGTCCAGGAAGCAATTGACGAATTTGAAAGACGCCGTCCACCAGGCATCCGTCATGGACATTTTATTGATACATTGTTCGTGTGATATTGTGTTGGTCTTAAGAGAGCGCCGACTCTGTAGAAGACAGATGGGATTTGATGCCCTCGTCCTTCTGCTGGTTGCGTTTGCGCTTGTCTTTCTCTTCTACTATTATCCTCTTTTCGTTTCGTTTTCGGGACTATGTGGCGTTCGGCTTGGGATCATGGCTTGGGATGGTGTAATAATGAGTTATGACAATTAGTACCTCTTTGATAGACTGTACAGTAGCCAGTGATAAATAACGAATCTAATTCTTGTCTACCATGGTCATGTCCTTGTTACTGTGCGAATGTCCTTAAAAGGTTACTACGTATCAAATGGTGCACTTGGAAGGAACACTAGCTCCCCCCATCTTTTCCTGCACGATCAAAACTAAATTCCTAGTAGTTCAAGGCTAACTCCCGGGCTAGTAGGTAAGTTTAACCATTCCCGTTTAAGGCCGTTCGGAGCCGTCATTTGTATTTCGACCGTGATACCTGAGGCATAAATGTTTAGGGTTACGCTAGTCCACATACGGACCGACATAGCTTAGTCACCCACAAACCCACAACGAGAAACCGCGTGATTGTCCGTCCGAAATTTCGAGGTTTGATCTGACCGACCGACTCTCCAACGACGACAACGACCCATCCTCTCACCTCGTCCCCTTTTCAGTACACCTTCGATTCCCGCTCGAGGTTCAAAGTCGCAAAAATGGGTGGTGTCACCGTTCGCGATGTGGACGTAAGTTGTCCTGTCCCCCCTGCACCTATACCTATATGCTCCTGAAGTCGATATGGCACCGGTATCTGGAAGAGGGGGAAACGGAGGAGGGACCAACATTGCAGGGCAGGGAGTGAGGAGCAGAAATCTTGGGATATTCTGGACGTGCTGGATTATTGTGGGCACTGGTTTACGTGGACGACATCGATATGCCTCAATCGGATCGCGAAGCATCGATTGATGGGATCTGCGACTGGGATGCATAGGATATACAACACTGCGATGGACGCATCGAATTGCGATTATCAGATACCAGAATTCTGCCAGAGGATCTTCAGGAACCTAGATTGCAAGGTCAGGTCAATCAAAAGACGTATACTGACGAATTTTTGGATTACAGGCGCAGAAGTTCATCTCTGCTTACTCTGCGTTCTTGAAGCGTCAGGGAAAGCTCCCCATCCCTGGTGCGTAATCTCCCCAACTGAACTTGTCTTGTGATCGATCGGAAACTGATGGTTTGTGCAGGATGGGTTGACACTGTCAAGACCTCTTGCTCCAACGAGCTCCCTCCCCAGAACGCTGACTGGTACGACTGAACCAACAATGTCGCTATTTGCGCTGCCGACACATCTGACAATTACTAGGTACTACGTCCGTGCCGCTGCCGTCGCTCGTCACATCTACCTCCGCAAGACCGTTGGTGTTGGCCGCCTCCGCAAGGTCCACGGCTCCGTCAAGAACCGTGGCTCCCGCCCCAACCACCACGTCGATGCCTCTGGCTCCGTCGACCGCAAGGTCATCCAGTCCCTTGAGAAGATCGGTGTCCTCGAGTACGACGAGGAGAAGGGTGGCCGTCGCATTACCCAGTCCGGCCAGCGTGATCTTGACCGTATCGCCAAGACCACCGTTGACGAGGAGGAGGAGGACGACGAGTAAATTAGCCTCGGATTAAAATAATGAAAAAGTCCTGATGTGTTCCACGTTGCCTCTTTTTTTTCCTTAATTTTTCCCTCTGGATTCTAAAGTTCCGGGGGAAAAATCGGGTGAAAAACGGTCGAGTACGCTTCGTCGGCATGGATCGAGTGGGATTGATGGCTATGGACTCAGGGAGAGGAATGAAGTTTCTTTATTGTTGCATATTACAATGTTCAATTTCCTGATGACTCGGGGGCCTACTACGGAGAATTCACCAACCTTGACTACCCAAAGACATCCATCTCTCTCTCCTTTCTATGTCTAATCGACATATCGCCTCGCCCTGATCCGACCGCCGACGGCATCTCCTGTCTCTCCCCAGGCCTGAAATATAGAGCACGTATGATATCAACATGACAGATTCAAGCCTTGCATACGGGAGTGTAAGTTGAAACCGTAGAATGTATGTACAATTGTATCAATCAAGCCTCCTCTATCTTATATCTACACATTATTTCTTCCCCGACTGCACCGTAGGATCCTACAATACCCAAAACATCAGTCCCCTGAACTGCAAAAACTCAAGACCAGAACAAAATAGTAGATAAGAAAGAACTCACCAAATAAACCTGATAAAACCGCATCTTCAACTCCTTCTCATCAAAAACCACCCGTCCAGCCCACGGCACCTCAATCTCATTCTCCGGATCCGCCTTGAGCACATACCTAACCGTCCCATAGAGCATCAACTCCCGCTCACCCCCGAAATAAACCTTCGTCGGAAAATGCTTCCTGGACTTCACATGTGTCCAGAGACCATGTCGGAGATTGAGGATTTCTTTTTCCACGGAGGTACATATATGTCAGCTCAATGCACTCATCAGAACTACACCCCACCTCCGTCCATTCTAGATTCACATAGCCAAGGATATGTCGGGATCAAGACGGAAAGAAAAGGAAAGGAAAGAGTAAATGAGGGAAAAGAACGAGAAGAGACTAACCTTTCTCCCCATTCGCGACCTTCGACCCCATGATTAACGTTGCATCGGGGGTAAAACTCTCGACGTATTTCTCGTGCAGGGATTCAGCGTCGCTCGTTGCGTAGAACGAATCCATGAAGGTTATCATGGAGTCGCCGTTGGGTGGGGTGAGGGTAGGGTTGGAGGTGAGGTTGTAGGACATTTTGGTTGACTGTGCTCTTTCTTCTCTCTTCTTGTTTGGTGGGTGGTTAACTAGGAGGGTATTGGGGTGTAATGTTATTGGGAATGGAGGGAGTTTATCTAGATTGTTTTCATTGCGCTACGAGACGAGGGGTATATACTGTATGCTTTATTTGGTGATGTCAGTTTCGCTGGGGAAGATGTTTCGGGCCGATGGGTTTGGGGCTTTCCGATCGATATCCGATGGGGTTTTTATTTTCATTTTTTTTTTCGGGGGCTGTGGTATTGGGTTTGCGGTTTGGGCTTTGGAGGTGTGGTTCGGGTGCAACTACTTTTATTATTAGTTTATTTGTACACTCTTCTAGAGATGATGGAGCATAGTGATGGTGTTGTGGTATTCATGATTTATACAGTTGTATATACAATCTGGAACAATTAAGCCTTCTTGTGATCTTCTTCGACCTCTCTGAAATCCTCCCAGCTCGCCCGGTCGGTTCCGTTGGGGCGGGAAGCCCTCTCGAATTTATTCTCGATACCATCAATTTCACAGATTGGTCGGACAACCTCAATGTCCGCGTTGTAAGCCTTGGAGTACCATTTCTCTGTAAGCGCCTCTTGTCCCGAGGCACTATCGGCGGCCACGTAGAGATGAGGGAACCGGGCCTGCATGATCTTCAGAACGGTGGAAGAGATGCGATCCACACTGTCACAGTGTCTCAGTTTGAAGAATTCTGGGGGCTGCGCAGCTCGCATTTTCTCCTGTACCTCCTCGGAGTATTTTCCTACAGCGAAGAGCAGTAGATCGTAGTGCATCAGGGACGCTTTTCCATGATAGGAGCCGCCAGTTTTTGCTCTGTGATAGAGTCCAGTCAATGCTGCAATGGCACCCATGCAACCAGTGCCATAGTCTGAAATAGGGAAGGGGGGAACCACGGGGTTCGAGAGTCCCATGAATTGTCCTTGTGCCCAGGCAACACCGGTCACCTGTAGTCTGTGTAAGCATTTCCACGTTTATCTATGATTTTGAGTTTGCATACGCAGTCCGCAATCTGTTGCCAGCCTGCGCGGCCGGCCCATTCTCCCTCATACCCGAAGCAATTCTCGTTGACGTAGATGATTCCCTTTCCACGTTTCTCTGCCAGTGAGGAAAGAGCTTCAGGGCCATAGCCCAGTTTTTCAATGGCCCCTGGGCGGTATCCGTCCACAACCACATCTGCGTCAGCCAAAAGCTCTTCAAACTGGCGCCGTCCTTCTTCCGTTTTCAGGTCCAAATCCGCAGCGTGCTTGCCCATGTTACCATCCACTTGGAAGAATGGCACATCAGAGAGGCTCGGACTGGTGATCTTCAAAACATCTGCTCCGTACTCGGTCAAGATGCGTGCAACGGTGGGGCCGGCAATGATGCGGCAGAGCTCCAAGACTTTGATTCCTTCAAGAATCTTCTTGCTCCCAGGGCGACTGGTGGGAAAGGGTGTGGGCGGCAGGTCACCCTTGAGGCGGGACACCTTCCATGGGGGTTGTTGGACGTTAAGTTCACCCTAATCAGGCATATGGTCAGTTTCAGTGGTGCCTGAAAAGCAAAGTGGCAGACAGTGCCACATACGTGAGGGGTCTTGATAAAGTCTTCGTAATTAAATGCTGTCACACCAGCTTGCTTTCTCTCCTTATTCATCTCTTCTAACTCTGCGGCTGTGTATTTCTGCACGTGGCTCTCAATGACTTTGATAATCTCTTCGTAGTCCGTCAGATCCGGACGGTGACCATCCAATCCAATCATATTCAGCGTCGTCGTGGCCTCGAGGGAGCCATGGATATGGAAGTATTCACCCTCGTTCTTAGTTTTGTATAGATTTGCAGACATCCGACGGTAACCATTAGACTGTGCCGCAAGCAAATCGGTATCTAAGCTAGTCAGCTAACAATTCTACAAAGAGATAGAGCTTCCCACCTTTCAACTTCTTTTTGACCTCCGGGTCCAGCTTAGACAGTTCGTCAACTTTTGCCATGTATGCCTGGCAACCAAAAGCTGTAGCTCGCTCAAGGTTAACCTTCACATTGCGCTTTTGAGATCCATAGCGCAGGTTCGCAATTGCGGCAGCCACGGATCCTTCGACACCTTTCAAGGCAGCCAGAGTTTCTGTCTCTTTGAAAGGAATGGGATAGTAGACCTCATCATGAGAAGAGTCGAAAGATACCGCATTCTTGCTTTCCACTACCTCCGAAGGAAGATTGAGACGCTCGGCTTGGTCACAGAGGTAAGAAAAGATACGCCCCGTCTCACGGACAGGTGAATACACACTCCCCATGTCTGGTTTGCTGATGGTTTGCGTGAAGGCGTTCGCAAAGGAATATCTACACGGATAAAGAAGGATGGATATGGAGAGGACTTTATTTGCAAAGAATTATGATCAACCCACGATAAGAGGTGTGGAGAAGGTTATATAAGTGACTGAGCTCTATATTTTCCTTCGGAAGATAGAAGGGTACTTCAACGGTTATGGCGTTCTCCGGGTCAACTCCGAGGAAGCGTCCGATGTCTGTATGTGTGGCGGATCGGCACCTGTAGGAGATGCAGTGGGCCACTTTGCCAATTGATGGCAAATAATACCAAGAGGGACTTAGAGGTCATTGTGTAAATCAAGACCAACCCCGCAAAGAAGGTTGTTATCCGACAGATGCGGCGGGTCTGGAACATTTAATTTCGGATGTGAGGCGATAAGATCGGATGCCGATAGGATAGTGGTGCTGATGTAAGCGTCTGGCATTTCAGGCATAAATCACTGTATGCCTGCATATTCATGACAACCAGTGTGTGCAAACAAGAGGCTGCGATTGCTCGGATGTTGAGACCTTGTAAAGCCCCTAAGTTCATAATCCTATAACCCAGCAGGCATAGTAGTAGAATCTTAACCTATGCTTGATAATAGTGAAAACTCAAGTACGGCTTGTGTAGATTTCATCAAATGAATAGATGTGATTGTAGACACTAGTTTCGCGATGCCAGATTTCTATCTCCAAGTGATAGTTTAACAGAAAATACTAGTCGTTCAAGAATCTTGGCTTATGTGATTCAAGAATGTGTCTCATCGGAAGCTGTGCGATATCTGCAAGGGACAAAAAATCATAGACAGGAATGTGTTAATCTCCATACTTCCAGTCTGCCCGGATATATATCTCTGTAACGAAACAGTGAAAGACTCGTATCGCAGGAATACTCGCATAGAGCCCAAGGTATTGAACAAAAAACACATTTTCCAACTCTACCTACAGAATCGGGAAAGCTTACTTCCTTGTAGGCTCTTCAATTATGCAAGGAGACAACCATTAACCGACAACTGGTAATACACAAGTCAAGAATACGTATTATTCAATCAGATGCTTTCAACCATCCTGTAATGTCCCCTTAGGTTCCGTCCATCCGATTGTGAGGAAGAGAGAGAGGATATATAATGTGCTAGTGATGTAAGCCTTACCCTGGGTTCATATGAGCCGTCAGCATGCTCTTCTTGAAAGAAAATTGTAGCACCGCTGAAGATATCTGCAAGATGATGGTCAGCCTTACGCCACCGAGACAAAGGCTAGTATTCGATGCTTACCTTGGGTAGAGAAATATCAGACTGGAGTACAAAGAATGTTCACTCTCCTTGTCCCCGATCCACACAAATTCCCGAGATTGGCATCGTATCGATCTTTCTATATGTACTATAGATGACCGGCTTTCAACGCCTCACTCCCCTAGTTGACGTTCCTGAGAAGTTATATACATAACGAGCATATCACCAAGCACTTGAAGTCACCAGCCTTGATCAATTGACTAAGGTATTGGGGGGTTCAATATTTTGCCGTCCGCCGAGAGTCTCTGATCCTCCGATGAAACGGAAATGTCTCGGACACAAAGAGAATAGCGCGGGCTGGATTTCGATTCAAACCTGTTGCGTAAATTCACTTGGCGCCCAGTGTACTCCGTATATTTCATAGCTACGGAGTAGTTTTGGCGCTCTAGGTTCTATCCGTGACCCTCGTCCGGTTCCGGGCTCTGAGGGTTTACCACCTGGTTCAACAATAATCGGGCCATGATTCCTAGAGGGACTTTTGATTTAGATGAACACATTGTAGGAAACATTTACCCCTGAGGGCTGAAATCGCTGCAGGGTGCAATGGTCTAGCCACTGTGCCTGATTGTTAACAAGAAGTTAGCCCTAATGTACATACGCTCCCCCCCACCAACACCCCACCCCCACACTTTCATGATTTACAAATTCGCTGACGTTTTATCCTGAATACGCACTGGTATACCGAGCACATATACGTGCTCCGTAATCAGGGCTAAATGAGTGAATACCTAATGGCATCTAAATCCCTCAAGCCCCTTGAGACATGAGGGGAAGTACCCATTACCGCGGAGATTGTCGGCTATCGTACCCTCACGGAGTAAAGGGCTGATGACATGAGCTGAGATGCTTGGACTTCAGACCCCACTTCTATGGCGCAGTAGATCCTGGAAATTGCATCCGGGCACTGGTAGATTGTAATTACTAGAATGAGAGTCGCGATACACCCATACCCATATTTTACCGGTGAAAGAGATCCATGCATTCGCGCATGCATCCATCAAATAGATTAATCATAGATGAGATTAAAAACCCTCTCCCCTCTGAGGTTGTAGTATCTGGATTGACAAGGTTTCTAGCATAACGCAACCGGAAAAAGTTTTCTACTTCTCAGCTGGTCAACGGAGCAAATCAGAGTAGATTCTTAGATCACATTCGTTGCATGCACACCCCACGATCTTCTCACTGCAGAGAGGGGGGAGGGGAACCATTCAACGCATTCAGATATGAGGTGGTGTTGAACGCCCACGTGTGACAATCAGGGAAAGTTATCGCGTACCGCGAATAGAATAGGGTTTCCGCTCTGCTTTCCTCATGCAACCAAACTTCGCGCACGAGCACGAGGCATGCATCTTGATATGCTCGTCGATCCGGTACCCGAGGGGTAGAATTGAGTGGAATATCTTCGGCGTTCCAAGGACACTGGAAATTTTGTATAGAGGCTTGTACACTACGACATCATCGTGCTTAGAATGCGTTACTTTTTTTTTTTTTTGTTTGACGGTAAATCTTGGAAGTGGAGCGGGGATGGAGTAGGAGTTATTATCATGACATAGGTGGATTAATTATATTTGGAGTATATAGGACATGTCTGATATGTACTAGGTACTTTGCATGAAGAGTACCTGATAAATTTCTATTGAATTTCAGTCGGTAGGATTATTCCATCATTTGTGTGTGTGTGTGCGTGTATCTGTGCGTGGACAACCACTCGGAGTAGTATGGAAAAAAGAAAAGAAGCAGGCAGAGATAAGCTAGTTACAGTGCGTAAATTACGATACCGAAGGGACGGTACTCCGGAGAAGGTCTGGATCGCTCCGGAAGGTCCCGGCGCTGTCTGAAGCGGGCCCGAGGAGTGTCAGCCAATGAACAGGCCCACGCGAGGCGATAGACGGTTTCTGTTCGTACGCGACCATGTATTCATGATTACCACTATAGTATGGGAACTATAAGGGAAAAGGAGAGATAAGAAGGCCGCACTGGCCCTACAAATATATGTACATCGAAACCATGTACTCCGTACTTTCATTTTAGTACTCCGTAACTCTCCCCATAAAAGGAGTAAGGATCCGGAGTCCCTGGTATTACTCATACCGTACCTTCTTTGCCTGCTGATCATCCAGCAATCAACTTTGTGGCCGCCTGACTTGACATTCCATCCGCGACTGCTATTATTATTCGTACTATTATTCCTGACGGGCTTTGCTCCTTACTTTCCCCCTCCTCTTCCTCCTCTCGCTTCTCCTTTCATCAAAGCTGTCTTCTCTCTCTCTCCTCTCTTGAAACAAAGCACAGTCAAGGATTACAATCGGTTCATCTTGTCGATAATCTATTCCGTTCCCGAGCTCTACGGTTCTGACGGTCGCGTGCCTTTAAAGACTATCTGAACTAGCGCGTCGCATCGCATCTGCCCTGACGTATCATATCGTTGCTGCATCTCAGTTTCTGCGGTCAGTCTTTTAACCAGTGTGCGGTAAGTTGCAGCCTCCCTTTTTCTCCCTATTTTCAAATGTTCCCTCGGGGTTCTTTGTTTCCAACAATTTTTGGTCCTTTGCTTGTCGTCCATGGTTCTGCCTGTACATACATAAGCACAACCACTCTTTAGGTATCCAGTCACCACCCCTTCCACACTTCAGGTCGTGCCTTCCGGTTGGTGGATTGTTCTGACTCATGTGATTACAGATTAGCCACCACAACAACCAACTAAATAATAATATCTTCTTTTCTCCCAACATGGCTGCTCAGACTACCTCTAGCATTGCAATGGCGCTTGCTGGCAAGACAGCCTCTGTGGATATTCCCAAACCTCGTTCTGCTTTCACTTCTGGTGGCCGTGATTCTTCTCGTTCAGGTCATACTATGTTACCGACTCCCCCTAACTCTATCTCGCCGACGCTTCCTCCGCAGGCCTTCAAGGGCCAGGACGTGAGGCATCCCACGTCTCCTCCTTTTGCTACATCTCACGTTGATTCCGATATCGACTTGGGTGACGCCGATGCAGACAGTCAGAACCAGCACCATCAGAGTGTTGGTGATCTTGACAGCGCTGGGGCAATCACCCCCAGTATGCTAGCCAAGTATCACCTACCGGAGATCATGCTACAGCACGGACCCCTCGCTATCCGCCATGTCATGGGCTACCTGACGACATCAGTGCCAGGATTTTCCCGAATCCCTCCCGCTAAAGCACGACGACTAGTCGTTGCGGCATTAGAAGGTCGGGGAAATGATGAGAAACGTGGCGGTCCTGCAAATGATGTTATCTTTGAGAAAGTCGGATGGGGTCGTTGGGACGCACGACGTCGTGGCGAACCCTCGAGGGATGCGCAGCATCAGAACTTGTCGCCCCCTTCTAGCTTCTCGAACTCATTCTCACAGCGTGGGATACAGATTCCTGGGAAGAGAGGCAGTCTGCAGCCTTACGGGTCCAGTGTGACTGGTGATTCGGCTGTCTTCTCATTTACGGAAATGGATTATGCCGGGCATATATCGGAGCATGAGGCGGACAAGATGTCACTCGATGGGAATGGACAAGAGTACTGTTCATCCTCTGAGGCTCCGGATGATGAGATTCAGGATGAGGACTGGGGCGAAGAAGACGTCACCGACGAAGAGGATTGGGCACAGATAGGTGCTGCAGCGCTTCGTGCGCGGTCCTTGAACGGCGGGGGCGGTTTCGTCAACGGACTCCATCCGTCGCCACAACTCCGAGGCGGTGGGCCTGCATCATCATCTTTAGCAAAGTCTGCGCCGCGCAAGCCTCCTATTCAGCAACTTGGTTTCTCCCTTCCAGATGGCATGGTAGGCAATACCGAAGAGCGTGCCGCAGTGGAGGCGCTTTTGCGTCTTGGGTCTATGTAATGTTATATTCTGGACGAAAAACCTGGCTCAGATTATGCCCATTGCGTTTTATATTATGGAGCTTCATGGCCGGTCCTTAGCTCTAGCATACGTTTTTTCTTTGTTCTCTTTACGTTCTACGACCTACCCTTGAAAGGGATGTGCCAGCTGACCCGACTGGTTCGAGGTGCTGGCTATGATGCATTGGGACTTGGGATTGAACTGGCGTTCGCATGGTATTTTCTTTCGCAGCTGAGACTGCTGCAAGTTATTGCATTATGCCTTCACGGCTTTCTTTCCTTTTTATTTTCTATTTTCCACCTTTCCTTTCTTTTTTTAATTGTGGGTTCTGCAGCGACTTCGATATATATCCTGCTACCCTGTACTCATTGCATATGCCCGGATGTTAGGGCAGCCATCTCTACTCTGATTTGCATTATATCATACCGAGAGCTGTATCATCTCGATTATTGTCCATATGGTTTTTGGCTGGCACAGAAATTATTGATGGCAATATTCACAACCGGAGACAAGAGCTGCGGTGGTGGAAATACTATATAGAACTAATCAAAGTTTGCCTTCAACGGCAACAAGTCATATAATAGAAGCTTACATTACTCATACCCCTTCCAAGAATGAGATTAGGCCCATCGGATAAGAGAATGAGCTGTGCTCCGCATTGTAGCCCTGTATTATTGGTCACCCTATAATTCCTGCTCCTTAACAATTTAGTGCTATCGATAACCAATACATTTTTAGAGCATGCTGATAGAACCACCAATAATTTCAAAGTATAGAATACACTAAAGCAGTAAAACCTATAAAATATACAACTAATACCAACCAATCCCATTAAAGCAACAACACCATTCCAACCCGCTCTAAAGCATCCATCATAACATATGAAACGAAAAAGAAACTCAGCCCAATCGGAAACCCCCCCCCTCAACAGAGCAAAATCACCGTACGAATCTACTTATCATGAGCTTCATTAATCCTCCTCCAAACCTCAGCTTCAACCTCCGCCAACTTATTCCCCGCGCTCCAGAACCACGCCTTGGCATTGTCTAGAAATCCCGATTCACCGGTCCCTATGTCTGTGTTTGCAGATGTATAATGCAGCGGTAACTGGGATGGATTCCCCGAGAGAGATGTATTGTTTACTGTACTCGTTGGCGGCTGATAGAGGGATGCGTAGGGCGTTGATGTCGAATTTGGGACTGCGGCTTGCGTTGGAGAGTGCGGATGGGGATGTCGTTGTGTTAACGACGATGGAGAGTAGCTGTAGCTGTACCCGGATCTGGGAGTTGAGTTGGAGGCAGTAGTTGAGGGAGAAGTAGATGTAGTAGCAGTAATTGCAGTAGGAGAAGTAGTAGTAGTAGTAGTAGTAGTAGTAGGGTTAGATTGGGTACTTGCGGCGAACGGTGCTTGTGGTTGCGGTTGGGGGGGGATATCGGCTGGTTTTGGGGGTGGAGGATTTGACAGAGAAGATTGTTTTGGTCCTTGGGTTTCTGGTGAAGGAGGATGTGGTTGAGTGCCGGGTTGGGGTGGTGGTGAGGAGGTATTAGTAGTCGTCGTTGCTGTCGTTGTGGTAGTGGTGGTAGTAGCTGGTTCTGGGGGCGGGTGCATAGGTACTGTCGGGGGGTCGGTTGGTGCTGGGGCTGGGTGTGAGGGCATACTGGCTGGTTCGGCCGTGGCGTAGATTGGGGAGTAAGGTGGTGCTGTTGCTGTTGCTGTTGCTGAGGTGGTTGGAGGTTCGAGCTCGTCTTGCTTAGAGGTTGGATCTGGAGATGGGGTTCGGGAAGATGAGGTCTGAAGGTTATCCTCCTGTGTATTTGGAGACGAAGCCATGATACAAGATGCTGTTAGTTTGATGTCAGAAATCAAAGCATGCTTTGGTCTTATAGCAATCATGTTCTAGGAGCTGTCGCAAGGGTAGCTCGAAAGCTACTATTATCTGCAGCCACTGGGAGTCTACGTCATCATCAAGGGATAGCACGTGAAGTTAATCAGGTGACTTTATTCACTGACCGCCCTACAGAGTTTTCAGAGAGATTTTACAAGACCACGTAAACCAAAAAGACAGGCTATTTGATTCCGCATCATACTGGCAAAGGAAGCAAGATGGAAAGAAAAGGAAATAAAATAAACTTGCAGGCAGTAAAGTACAACTGGTACAAGGAAATAGCACACTGCTCTATGCTCAAGATTATACAATCCCTTGACGCATATCTAAAATTTTCAGCACCTGGCAGTTACGCCAGATGCCCTTTCCCCATTAACGTCACACCCGAAACGAATTGAACTTAATCAATCGTCTATTTGAACTTCTTGCCGAAGAGGATGAGCTGGACCTGGTCGTAGATAGACAGGACACCAGCACCGGCAACACCACGAAGGATGTTAGCACCGGCACCCTTGAAGAGAGACTTGACACCCTCCCTGGCGACGATCTGGCGGAAAGCATCGAAGGAAGAGCTGTACTTGACGGCCTCACCAGAGGTCATCATCATACGACGACGGACGGTGTCAAGAGGGTAAGAAGCGATACCAGCACCAGTGGTGACAGTCCAGCCGAGAAGGAAGGAAGCAAGGAAGTTACCCTCGAGAGGACCAACCAGGACAACGGGCTTGATGGAGTCGTACATGCCGAAGTACAGACCACGGTAGACAACAATACCAAGAACAGAGGGACCGAAACCACGGTAGAGACCGGCAATACCATCAGAAGCAAGAGTCTTCTTGTAGACATCAACGAGACCGTTGAACTGACGGTCACCACCACCCTTGGCGGACTTAGCATCGTTGGCAAGACGGGTACGGGCGTAGTCAAGAGAGTAGACGAAGAGAAGGGAAGTGGCACCAGCAGCCTGGTATAATTTGTTAGTGATGTTTCGATCAGGTGCTAATTCTGGGGAGACATACACCACCGGAGGCAAGGTTACCCATCATCCACTTGGCGTATCCATCACGCTCCTTCTTGTAGGCGAACATGGACTTGTAGGTGTCACGGAAGGCAAAGTTAAGAGCCTGGGTGGGGAAGTAACGGATGACGTTGGCAGTGTTACCACGCCAGAGAGAGGCAACACCCTCGGAGGCGGCAGTACGACGGAAGCAGTCCATGATACCGTTGTACTTGCGGTCGAGACGACCGGCGCGAAGCATCTCATCCTGGTTCTGGATGAGGAGCTTGATACGCTCGATGGGGGCGGCAGCGGTCTTGGAGACAGCAGCGGAAACACCACCCACTGTTGAGGTTGATTAGTACATGTCGAACCATGGGCACAGATCTAGCAAGTCTGCATTGATAGGAATTGGTCTATTTGGCTTTGGCCAATCGATCAAGGGATGTTCGGGTTGCACATACTCATGAAGTCGACAACGAATCCCTGTTGTGAAAATTCTTGTTAGCCATCAATTCCTTAGATCAATTGCGTGCCATCGCGTCAAATCTTCTGAATCCCGATTTCCTGATGCTTCCGATGATTCTTTCGATGCTATAGAGGCAACACGATCCATCGAGACCAGGAAGCGCGTGATCTGAAGTTTTCGCCAGCACAGCTGGGAGCAATAGTAACTTACGGGCATGCCGAAAACGGACTTGTCGCCCTGGTTAACGGACATCTTGGCGGCTGTGAAGAATGAAAACTAAACAACCAAGAGAGGAGATGGATAAGGAGAGTGATGGAAGAAAGAAGAGAAGAAGGAAGGGAAAGGGAGAAAAAATAGCGAGCGAAGGCTCTTGTAAGCGGGAAGAAGCGAGCGGAGACGCTAAGACCGCTTTAGGATACGCTGGCCAATTTCGCAGTGGCAGCGACCGGCAGTCCAGGGAAGGGGAAGGGAAAAAAAAAAAAAGAAAAACTGGAACCGGCGCTAATGCTGGCCCAGGCAACCAGAGCCGATATCTCCCGATCGCTCCAGAAACCATTCCGACTGGTCTTGGTCCAAGTGAGATACCCCCAAAACAAGAAAGAAAAAAGAGGGGAAAAAAAGGAAAAAAAAAATATAAATTCTAGATGAATTGGTTTTGATAGTTATGAAGAACTATTGGGTTCTTTTCTCTAAAAAGAAACTAACTATGTCTATAATAGTAATATTTTTCGTCTAGGGGGGTCTATCGTCACGGTTGGATTTTCTCGGATGCATACCGAATCGGCCGTTCTGATACTGTACCTCCTCAGAAAAGGTTCCATATTCGAATTTTCCCTCCCTTTCCCATTTCCCCGTGACCGAACCAACAAACAATTGGAGCCTCTCCGCTCAGAAACAGATGCTCACTCACCCACACCCACATGGGGAAGTTCCCCTTCTTCCCTTTGGTCCCGAGTTTCCGATGGCAAATCAAATTTTAATCGGCAACGGACGTTGACTCCCTTGACTTTGACTTTGTATTCGCCATACGGAAAATGAACTAGGCAAATTCAAAATGATCACTAAATCTCTTTGCCGTTCCGTACCATATAGCTGTATGAAATTCGTAATTCACTCCGAAGCTAATGTCGGTCGTGTGCGCCGCCAGCTATCGTTGCCATGGCGTTCGTACACCGTCGAAGAGCCCTTTGATATCTTGAATAATACTCCGGACTAGTCGATTTCCTTGTATTTCTCCTATTCGCCATCTCTTCAAGCTTCGCTATCTTTCGGTCTCAGCCTCCATGGCCTGCAGGGCTGATGATGGCCAAATCCCTCATTTCCAGCTATTCACTCCCAAGGTTTCTCATATGTGCTGTACCTCAAACTACCTCGGATATTAATAGGTACTATTGATACATACGTGTCCCTACAAATTCTACCAAAAGAATTTCAGACCTGTCAATACGAGATATAACCTTGTGCTTGGTCAATTTGTTCTCTGCCATGATCCATTTATGTCTCAACACTTGTTCAAACATTACCATTGTTCTTAGCTATAATATTCGCGGTCCAAAGAAGACACGATGTCAAGAGGTACAGAGTACGGAGTATGGACGGTTCCATGCGGATCCACACGGCTTCCCTTTTTTCTTTTTTTCTTTTTTTTTTTTTAGCTCTAGAGATCATTTTCTCCTTTTAATGACGGGGCAACAAAAGCTAGTGTAAAACTTCTCAGTCGCCCGTTAAAACGGAGACCCACCAAACATGGGGGTCCATCTTTTGTTATGAATACTCACAGCATCAATTTCATATTCGCCATCCTGGCTATAATATTCACTGGTTAAGCAAAAGAAGTAGGGTATGAGCCCCCAGACCCAAGGATTCGGATTGTTCCGTCAGGGAAGAGAACTTGCCACTTCTTTTTCGATTCTAGATTCGTGAAAATCCTTCATTCTACCCAATTGCCACTTTTCGGATACCGCTTGGCAAACGCTCGATGATCCGGTGGTCGAGAGCCAAGTTATACGACTTCAGCCGGGTAGGAAATGCTCTTGGTACATAGTGCATACATACAAAATTTTGGACGTAGTCCATCGGAACCTGATGTATAGAAATGCGCTGCTATTAGCGACTTCCCTACTCCGCACTCCGTACAGACATTGTCAATACCTACCTTGTTGTTCAATTATATATCTCATGCGTCTCACGTGTGAACCTTCTACTTCCGGCTATTCATAAACCCATTTATTCTTTTGGTAGCCCCGATAAATACAAATGCAACTCCACATAATGAAAGAAATCAAACGTCCCGGATGTAGATAGAACTCCAATGCTAGAAGTAATTAAGCGCTAGGCTTACTATCGGACGCCATTAGTGCTTCTTCGACCTCTTTCTCTTCTTTCTTTTAGGTTCTCCCTCCCGGATATCGACATTTCCAACATCAGTGGCATCTTCCTTCTCGTCAACCGTTCTCCCACTGCCGAAAACAAACTCTGGACCCTCTTCGTTGCCGAATGTATCCTTACGCCATTGCCTCAGCCGAGCTTTCTTGCCCAATTTCTTCTGATCACGACGCTTTTTCTCGGGATCACGGAACGAAGCAAGTTTCTTCAATCCCGCATACTCGTTGAGCTGAGTATCCTCAGCCATAAGAATGTCTCGTGCGGTCAGACCAAAACTGTTTGGAGATGTTTCGCGGTAGCGGAAATGTCCCTGGTGCTTCTTTGCACCGGGAAGGAGGTTGATATCCAGATCCAGGTTGCGATCCACTGCCTCTTCAATGCGTAGTCGATCCTTGCGAGCTTCACGCTTCTGATCCCGCTTCTCCTGCGCTTTGCTCTTTTTGTTCTTGGATGCGCTCTCATCGCCCTCGGCGTCTTCAGCATCATCCATCTCAACATCGGATTGCTGTCGGTCGGGCTTCTCGTCGTCATCGTCAAAGTCTGGTACAAGATCCTTGATATCGATATCATCATCCCAAGTGGGCTTCTTGGGTTTCTTTTTACCATCACCTTCTCCAGCATAATAGTCTTCACCAAATCGCTTCTGCATCTCTTGTTCCCATTTCTGGTCGTCCCAGGAATCATCCAAGAACTTGGCCCATTCCTCGTCAGTGAACTCGGATGCGCGGAGGCCTGCGACTTCCTTGATTTGGCTGACTTTCTCTTGAAGCTCTTCCATCTTAAGCTTGCGCAGTCGGTTCTTTTCTGTTTCACGCTGCTTCTTTTCCTCTTCCTTTTTCAAGCGTTCCGCGTCCCTTTGCTTCTTCCTACCACTCTTCTCATCTCTGCGAACCGACTGCTGGTTCGTGGCATCACGAGCGTGTGTAATCAACGTTGCGTTGATTTTGCTAGGATCTTCGAAGCGGAAGTTGTATGCTTCTTCGAATGCCTCTGCCCGTGCATCATCCTCTTCATCATCAGACTCAAGAGGCTGAAGGTCTGCCCTGCCAGCTGGGATCCATGCCCTAGCTGACAGAAAGTTGGACAGGAAAGTC